ATCCTCATATCCACTGCCCCTGTTTGAGCCACATGAATTGGGGATAATCAACATACTCTTTGGCACTGAATTATCTTATATGTAACTGAGAAGAGACCTGATCAAGGGATCAAGGGATTCCAACATATTTATTGTGACAATTCACTAATTTTTTGGACTGAAATCTGTTGTCAATCAGTTTCACTGAAAGATGACTATGCTTAGTGGCATGAATAAAAAAACAGTGCTCTTCAGTCCACTTTCTCCACAGTATGCACAATTGTAAAACCTCTGATTACATGTCTTCTTGGTTGGTTTTAGTTTTTTCAAGCTTTAAAAAAAAGTTCCCAATTCTTTGGCCGTTCCTCGCAAGGAAAGGGTGTTCCAACTTGACATTTTGTTCATGGTACCTATTCTGATTCTACAATATCCATTTTGAGAAGTTGCACCCTTGGAACATTTCAGCATACTGCAAATACCACTACATTGCAATATAGATTGCTTGTAATTGCTTTCCTAATAGTCCTTACTCAGGCACTTCAAGAATACATTTTAGGTCACATTCATTATAGAGCAGAGCTAGAGCATAGGCTTGATTCTCCCACTACAGTCTAACTCTATTGCATAATGAATGTGATTTAAATATGTTCTTGTTATTCTATTTATCCTCTGAAACACATGTACCCTGATCACTAGCTGAATGAGAACCAGCTGGCAAAAGTATGGACATTGAAGGTCTGGAGTTTGATTTCAAGACCATGATGTAGAAGTCCTAACTAGTTTCTTCAAGAAAAGCAAGACTGCCTATAAAATGTGCAGATTGGAGTTCTAGAATTATTTCCCTCTTCTCTTGCTAAACTGTGCTGGGTTGGGTCGCAGTAGAGAAGACATAAAACTACTTATGGATATTTTATACAGTACACCATTCTGACAGCTTTTGCTCCCTTTGTCTGAAAATACTTCATTTTATACTGGGGAAAAAAGAGTAGTGTAAGTAGGACATCTGCTGGTGATGAATTGCGGTTGCTGATGTTTCAAACAGTCTAGAGAAAATGTTCATACGTATAATTACAGCCTACATACATGTGTGTGTGTGTGTGTGTGTGTGTGTGTGTGTGTGTGTGTGTGTGTGCGTGCGCGTGCGCGCGCGCTATTTCCCAAAGCTCAGCACGGTTTGGCCCAGTAAGTATGTGATTGGGAGACCATCAGAAAATAGCAGGAAGCAGTTGCTGATGTCTCAAACAGTCTAGAGAAAAATGTTCATACATATAATTACAGCTGCACTAATTGGGCAGTGCTCTCAGATCTTAAAGATTCTTCAGGAGCCTCTGCAGAAAGTTTCACAAATATAGAGATTACTGACAAGAAACTTTCTGTGATGTTTGGGAGTCAGAAAGGTCACGTTAGAGGCAGTTCAGGAGATACTGAGTTAAAAGCTCCCTCATTCCCCTGAGCCCTCACCCACAGACAGTGAAAAAGTGTCATTAAGTACAAAGTTAATGACAGCCATGATGTAGAGGAGCCAGGGCTTGCAAAGTCACCATTCCAGGGTCTTCTGTGTATAGCAGGAATTAGGACACCTGTCACCCCCTCCTTGCTCCATCTCACTTTAGCTGCGATTCTTCCATTTGCCTTTGTAATGCAGCATATTTTAGTGGTTTGGTCTTGAATGGACAATTTAGAACCATTATTTTTACAAATGACCTGCTCCTTAGTCTTTGATATAGGGGACACAGAGGACCGCACACTTATTGGGGCATCCCCTGGGCAACAACAACATACTGTTTGCTGATCCTTCCACTCTGGAAGCTCCAGTGAATTGTTTTTGACATGAACGAAGGAGAAAACAAATGATTGATTTGCACAGCTACAGCAATCTGCATGTTTGGACTTTTCTTACAATGCTATGCGGTGGTGTGGGCAATCAGGATGAGCATCTGTGCTTCCAGATTTACAACTGGGAGGGAATCTGGGAGATAACATTTTAAAAAGGCAGAAGAGAGAAATAAAAATGGAAAAATCCACCCCACCACATTCTGTCCTGGTTAGTTTGATCCAGCAAAGCTTAAGAACTAATAGGTCCTCTTCCATAGAATCTCCCACTACCATCACTACTACCACTACAGCAAGTCTTAGGAATTTCATTCCCAGTTGCTGAGGTATCTGTTGATACCCTGAATACAGCTGATGGATCTAATTTATTTCCCAAAGCTCAGCAGGGTTTGGCCCAGTAAGTATGTGGTTGGGAGACCATCAGAAAATAGCAGGAAGCTTCAGGAAGGACAAGGAGAACTTGATGGTTGAAATGCTGGCAAGCTGTTGCCAGTCCTAGTTAAAAATACTGGGCAAGAGGTGTTCCCGTTTGAACATATCAACATATTTTGGTACAAACTTATATATATAATAGTGGGTGGGAAGCCCTGTAATGTTAAAGCAGAAGTCAAGGGGCACTTGGCACACATTGGATGATCATTCCTCTCTACCCCATCTTTGCCCTGAATGGGCCAGTACTACAGCTTTGTTTAACAAGAATAAATTGACAGCATTTTGATCTTCTCTGTAAATCTGAAATGTGAATATCTTGGGTACTCCTGTCTGGCTCACCTGGCTAAGATGGATGTATGGGTAAGACATCAGCTGAAAATTGTTCAAAAGCCTAACGGGGTGAAATTTGGAAAAAACAACAGACAACAGAGTGATCATCTGTATTATCCATGTGGAAGAACGACAATCCTTAGTATGGCATATCACAAAAATAATGTGGTATGCAACAATATTTGCCTCTGGATCTAGTGCTTAAGATAGTATAAAATGCCCTAGTTGCTACTGGACATGGGCAAGGCATCAGAGGTAACTTGGGGGAAGACATCAAGTGCTGGAAACTGGCAAAAACCAGCCTGATTTGACCACGTGACAAAGTTGTTTACTTGATCTGTCTGGGGTGAGAAGTTCAAAAACTGTCAAGATGTACCCAGATTGGTCAGTCCTAACGGGGGTTATGTTTTGATGCCCAGCTCTGCCATCTTTTGATTTCTGGTTCGGCTTTCATTTTGCTCATTAATGAGATGATTTTTTTTGTCATTTTGTCAGTTAGAGAATATCCAAGATGTTGGCCATACAGAGATGTCTTAATGAACAAGTAAGTTATTCTGAAAAGGTATATAAGGTCTAGGATGTGTGTCATCGGCAAGCTTCGGCATAGAACAGATGTTGCAGAGGTGCTGCACAATAACGAACTCTCAGGAGTTGCACCCCTGTTCCTCAGGGGCTCCCAGCATGCAGAAGGGCATAATGTTTCTTTATTTTATCATTTTACTGCTCATATGTTTGGTTTTACTGTTAGAGATGGGTGTATTCATATTTGAATATGAATATCCCCACACAGGTGGCGTTAACGAGGGTCCAGCCCCATGGGGCTGGTTGGTCCACTCACCTATCTGCCACAGATGCAGACAGCGTGATTCTATGAATGGCGCTGCAGCACGTGATCTGCTCACCACTCTTCAACCTTGCAGCAAAGTTTATCCTCCCGCCTCCTGCCAGGAGTAGCAAGCGGATTGCACACTACAGATCCATTCATAGAATTACACTGTCTGCATCGGATCGGTGAGTGGACTGTCCGGCCCCATGGGGCTGGACCCTTGTTAACGTCACCTGTGCGGGGATATTCATATACGAATACCCCCATCTCTATTTACTTTTAATTTTGTTTCTTTTATTAAAAATGGTGCCTTTTTCTCCACATATGAGTTCCTTATCATTAAATCCCGAAAGAACCCTTATCAACCTCAACAACACACTATATCAGGATAATATTTTTGCACATCAAAAATTATAACAGCAGGGAAGGAATTCCACATGGAGGATATATGCCCATGTGCAACAAATTATGATTTATTGTAGGTTCATTTGCAGTGTTTCACTCTGGAAAACTCTCCGCATCAGCCCAAGTCATTTGAGATAATTTGCAAGATCATACTCCCTATTCTTGGGAAATCAATCCTGAGTGCTCACTGGAAGGACAGATCCTGAAGCTGAGGCTCCAATACTTTGGCCATCTCATGAGAAGAGAAGACTTCCTGGAAAAGACCCTTAAGTTGGGACAGAGTGAAGGCAAGAGGAGAAGGGGACGATAGAGGGTGAGATGGTTGGACAGTGTCATTGAAACTACCAACATAAATTTGACAAAACTCTGGGAGACAGTGGAAGACAGGAAGGCCCGGCGTGCTCTGGTCCATGGGGTCATGAAGAGTTGGGCATGACTTAACGACTAAACAACAACAACAGCTCCCTATTCTGTGTACAGAAACTAGCCACATCAGCAGATGAATCTCCCCAATCCCAAACATATACCTCCAGACGTAGCTGCCTCATTGGTTGATGGTAGGATCAGCCCCCAAGAAGCTCTTGAAGGTAATATTCAGAAGGTAATACACAGTTTGGAGACAGAAAAGTATTAAGAAAATGAGTAACTAACCATAAGATATGAATCCTGCATACCTTATTGAACAGGATCCAGTTCACCAACAAAATCACTATTGCAAGATCTTCAGCCAAAAATATTGCAAAATATAGTAATGTTAGATAGCAATAAAGAAGAAAACTAATTTCACTGCCCTGTACACACTTGATTTTACTATTAGAGTTGATTTCAAGGATGGATATGTCTAGGTTTATACCAGAAATATGTGAGGTGTATAATGAAGTATAGCATTGGGAGTTTGAAATTGTCTTGAAATATCATGTTTCTCACCAACGTTGAGTTTACAATCCAAGTATTCAGAGCTGAGAGTGACCTGGAAGGAAATTAAACTTTACTTTTCAAAGCTGTAACATTTTTGCTGTCTCTAATAGCATCCAGTAAACAAAAACAAGCAAACAAACAGAAGTAATGGCTCCAACTGTCCAAAACCAACCTTACAGGACAATGAAATCATTGATTCTTCATTTTAAATAAACCTCTCAGTTTTCTAATAAGTTTTTTGAATAATGGAGGACTTAATTTTCTATTTTTTCTTGTTTTATCTTCAAAATTAATGTCATTTAAAGAAGAGAAGGTTTACTTTCCAGTCCCTTTCTACAAGTCTTTAACATTCTTGTATTCTCCTTTTCTGTGTTTGTTGATTCTCATCTGAAATATTCCAGTCTGGCATCTCTGGTGCTTTTAGAAGAAGAAAGACACACATCCAACAAAAGTTGGTGAAAATATATTCCACAATTTCTATGATTGTAATCATACTGGCTCCACAAAATAAACCAAGTTGCCCGCCAATATCAGCTGGAATGAAAACAAGAAACACATCAGTCTAGCCATGTTAAAATGTGAGATTTACATGATTTATGTTTTCTTCTTCAATCTTAAAGTCAGGTTGTTCTATCGAATTCACTGCAATTTACTGACCTCATCATATTTACATGCTTCTCTGTCAATAGGTGGATTGGATCTATTATGCAAGTTAGTTGCATTTTGATCAGAAAGGCATTGATTTTAGTGGGAAATAAAAGTTGTCTAACTTCTTCTGGGTTGAAAACATGGAGGCATAAGAGAAGACTGCAATGCCAAAAGGAAATCTAAATTTACTATACAGAAATTATAACAGGGCTTTCCCAGATATAGTATTTATCTTGTTTCACCTCCTTTCTTGTTGCTTGGAAATGGACTTTAAAAAAAAACAGGACTTGCATTTTTACTGTTAACTAGCACTAAGGTGCTTTGATAGCATCACCACTATAGCTGCTGTAGGCCTGGAATTGCCTGCAGAGTGTCTCCATCTCAGGACCCTGCAGTGTGCTTTCATTTGCCAGTGTCTAGCAATTTTTTCCCCTTTGAATTTTCTTGACTCTTGCTTCCCATAGTTCATTGGTGTTAAAACGCCTGAGAAGCACCATAGCACTAAATTTGCCTTCTGGAGGGATAAAAAAGTTCAGGAACAGAGAGAATAAATACCTCTTATAAAGGAAGATTAGAAGAACACTGTTTAAATTATGGGGAAACTTCTTGTGACACCAGTGCAAAATCCTATCCTTAAGGCAGAACAAATGCTGCCTCAGAAAGGAGCTAAAAAGCTGATTTTATATCAAGTCACATAACAATCCAACTGTTTGGAAAACAGTAACAGTGCTCATGAATTCTGTCAGTAAGGTAAATGCCATTCATAGCCCCATATAGAGTAGACCCACTGAATGAAGGCAGTTTGTTGAGTCAACACTTAGATATGTCTTATTGATTCAATTGATCTATCTGAGTTGAGTCTAACAAATGAATTTAGCATAATGATTGCTGAAAATGAACACAAACGCAGTCTTCCATGCTAAAAAAAAATATTCATTACAGTTCACTTACCAAGCAACTCAGATACACTCAATGCTTTCTGCTGTTGGGTCATTTTATAATTCAGATCATGATATTTAATGTCAATATATACAAGATTGTGCCTGGGGATAATAAGAACACTTTCATTATGCTGTTGGTTTTTATTCATCAGTTCAACCATTCCTTTCCATTTTTAATATCATGTGGCAAGTATAGCCTTATGCATACTGTAAATACATGGAGTCCACAAAGCAATGAGGATAGTGCACTAGCCCTGCTTTAAACATGGAAATGTAAGTCTGAAGGAAGGAGGCTGTTCTACCCAGGTTGACTCTCCATGTGAGGTGGAACCATTTACCCCCCTAAATTTTGGTAGACAACAAACATTTCCTTTAAAAAAAAAAGAAACTCTAGCTTTGAAAACGAAAGAGTACCTGATGTGACCATTATGTTCCTCAAGGTCATTCACAACCCTAAACAGTTGGTCTTATAATTATCTAAATGATCCTGCTAATGGACCTCGTTCTTTAGGTTTCCAAACATACATGAGATGCTACTATGATACGTCTTTGGCATCAAGCTGTAAATAACTGAATCTACATTTTATATACATATTTATTTAAAAAATCAATTGATCATACTGCTAGATAATTTATAATGTGGATTTATTAATATGTTTGCTTGATTCCTACTGGTTAATTACTTGGGAACAGAAATATTTCCCTGTAATTTTTCATGCTTCAGTGAATAATTGTTAGATAGTGGCCATTTGTAAGAAATAATCAAATATCAAAATGAACTAAATGCAAATGTTGTTATGCAAGTCAAAGTTTATGAGAGATGGAAGATTCATGACCTCTCTCTCTCTCTCTCTCTCTCTCTCTCTCAAGCAGTTACAGAAGCATTGGGGTGGCCTTCTGCCTACACTGTAGAATCCTACAGCTTTCCCTAAATGTTGTTCCTGCCCCCTGCAATAGGCTAGGTGCCATCTGACCCTTTGCAGAAGACATTAGTTACCTGCATTGTGTTTCAATTTCTCTCCCATTCAGGGCCATAAAGAGGAATTTTGCATGGGGATGGGCTGATTATTAGGAAAGTGGCCAGCATAGCCATGAAACTTAAATGAGGAACGACACTGGTTTGTACATTGTTTTTCATACATTATGTGTCATAACAACTTTTGTTTATTCCACATGTGACCATCCATTAGGACAGAGGGCCCCAACCCCCAGTACATAGCCTAGTACCAGGCCATGGCCTTGGCAGGACCAAGCAGTGGAGACAGATCCCCCCCACAGACACACATATGCCCCCCATGCATGCATGCCCCCATACATGCATGCACGGATGCACGCAGACACACCTCACACACGGATGTATGCATGCCCCCCATGCACAGATGTACTCATGCATACATGCATGCACAGACGCACCCCCCACATGCATGCTAAACCGGTCTGCGGTGCCAAAACAGTTGGGGACCACTGCATTAGGAAATAAATAGCATTCACAGGGAGGGCAACTACTTTGTAGAGCAAAAAATAGCCCTACTCTTGGAGGGAAGGCCAGATGGATGTGTGCAGTGGCCAAGCATCTACTCCTCCCCCGCCCCCACCCCTTTAATCAAATAGAGCTGATTGCAGTTGGGGAGTGATTTAGAATGGGGAAACATCACAGGGCAAGGGAGATACATTTAAAAAACACTCTCCAAGGAAACATCTAATAAAAACTGAAGGTCCTCACAGCTGCTCTATAGAAACATTAGAGAAGTTGAGAATCAGGGAATGTGAGTAAACCTCCTCTCCTTCATATGCTGCTTGGGCATTCACAAAATTATCTAGCACAATCTATAACAGAACTACTGTTAGCGTTGATTTAATCGGATTATTCCAACAATAACAGAACTAATTTCTGGATCTATTAAAGAAGTGAAAATTGACATTTAAAATTTTGTTTACTGGAGTACAAGCAATACATCTTGTGTTATCTTAAGCAGCAGTAGACTACAATGGCCAACCTAATTATGGTTACTCTGATATAAATGCTATTGTATTCAGTGGAGCTTGTTCCCAGGAAAACGTGGAGCAGGCTGAAGTCTTCCTATAACATAAGACTACCTGCTGTCTTCCAGGACTGCAGGACCCTTCAGCCTCATCTAGCATGTCTAATGGTGAAAGACTCTGGGAATAGTAGTCTAAAATAACATGAAAATATCCAGTTGGAAAAGGTTAGTATACACTTACGCATGGAACAGGATCTACAGGATGCTCAGCTTCCTGTCTCCTTTCCTTAAACATAAAACACACACACACACAAAAACGGACTCTGTCCTAAATCAGTGGCTGAGGCTGGCAATCTGCTGGATGAGGGTGGAGAAACTGAAGCTTAATCTAGACAAGACAGAGGTGCTCTTGGTCGGTTAAAAGGCAGACCAAGGAATCAGGATTCAGTCTGTGCCGGATGAGGTTACACTCTCCTTGAAAACTCAACTGTGTTGCTGGAGTTAACAACTGGATTCTTCTCAAAAATGGCCAGAAGTGCATTTACAGAATTAAAACTAGTGCACCTGCTGTGCCCATTTCTTGAGTAGCCTCACCCGGCTATGGTGACACGCACCTTGGTTACCTCCTGCTTGGATTACTGCAATGTGCCCTACGCGAGGCTGCCTCTGAAGATGGTGCTGCGAACAGGCTGTTGACTGGGGTTGGCTCCGGGAATTGTTTGTGAGCCTCCCCTTACCAGAACCCCACTGGCTGCCAGCTCTTTTCTAGGTCCTATTTACAGCTCAGGTCCAGGCTATCTGAAAGACTGTCCCTCCTGGCAAAAGCCCCAACAAGTATTAAAAGTATCAGAGGGACTGCTTTCTCTGGTCCCACCACATTCACAAACGGATTTGATGAAAATTCAAGAAAGGATTCTCGACCCGCACACGCCCACGGTTGCTCCCAAACCACGGGCCTTCCTTCTTTGAGTGGTGAAGTTGGTCCCTTCGCTCCTCTCCTTCCACTGGCAACTGAAAACTAAGAGAATTTCTAAAACAGGATGGTTTGTAGTTTTGTTGCTTTAAATCTTCTTTTAGTAATGCTTCCACCTAATATATTAAATATAATTTTTGTTTCATTCTTGTTTAATATTTGAATAATTGACTGTTTTTAAGCTTTTATTATTGTGTTTTGGTTCCTTTTTTAGGATAAAGGTGGGGCAAAAATATTTTAAGCAAATAAATAATTGTGCCTCTTTTGAGAGGCTTTCGGGGAGCTACAGGCAATTGAGATGCAGAGGACTTTTAAATTCTGATTCATCATTTAAAAACAATGTTTTGCTGATTGGACAGCTCAGCTTGGACCCCCGGGAGTCGGAGCATGGCTGGGAAACCAGGCGCGGGGCGGCTTCAAGCGGCGGCGGCGGCAGGATAGGGGGGTCGGATGGCTTCCAGTGCTTCGCCTGGGAGCCATCCGGACCCCCCCACCCCGCCGCCACCCCCCCAATCAGCCCATTGTGCTCCCAACCTTTTTCCCATCTCCAACTACACTGCTGGAGCGCAAACTTCATTCTCTTGATGTTAGAAGGGCCCTTGCCTTCTACCTACACTGCACCAAGTCTATCCGATGCTCTCTGCGTCTCTTCTTATGTTACTACGGACCACGCAAAGGTGCTCCTGCTTCTTCTCAGTCAGTATCATGGTGGATTGTTTAGGTCATTCACCTGGCTTACCAGCTGGCCCCTATGGAGGATCTTCACTGAACGGTGAGTTTTGGCCCCATAGGAATGGGGTTTTTCTTTCCGTTTAGCGATGTTTCCACATAGCGACGATTAATCCGGAACGGATTAACATCGCTATGCGGGGCACCACTGTATATCCTACTTATAACAATCCTAATTGGATGTTCAAAATGTTGAGCTATATAGAGGTGGTTTTACCAATGCCAACTCTCAGCTAGCTTCCATGGCCAAGCAGAGATTTGAATCCAGAGCTCCTGAATCCTAGTCTGTTAATCTTTCTACCACACCACACAGGATACTGCATCAGCTTAGCAAGTGTTAAAGGAAGGTACGAGCCATTCTGAACTCAACAGATTCAACTATAGCTGGGATCTGTTAGGAATAAGTAACCAAATGTGCACTTGGAACATACACAAGTCTTGGAAAGACATTCCTTATTCGCATTTACAGGATTCTCACTGGTATTTGTTCTGCTGGCTTCAGGAGATTTAACATGATACTCTTGGTTTTTGCATTCATCACAGTTTTGCAATAAAGGCAAACAAAAATATCCATTGTAAGGAGAACGAGTCCACAAGCTTATGAAGACAAAGGCATCAATATTTTTTTGACAAACTCGAGATATTTCCTCAAACAATTTAAGAGCACAAACATGTGAAAAGAACAAAAGCACTTGAAATGTTTAGCCTAGGCAATCACAAACTAATTGGTATCTCACATAAATATTTTCATACTCTTGAGACTTTCTCTTGGTTAAAATTAATAGGGCTTGAGAAATAATGTTTCCAGATATCTAGACATTTTCCAATATTATCTCCTAATTAACTTCAGCTGTGGTTTACTTCTGTCCTAGTAGATTTTGCCTGCAATCTTTAACAGACTCCCTTTTGAAAGAATCCCTTTTAAATATACTTATAGGATTGTATTGTGTAATTTCCATAAACACTGAGCACTGGGATAATACCTTAAAATGTAACCAGGTCCTAAATTGTCCAAAATATCTTTGCTTGGGTCCCTTCGTTTGATTTAAGAAATAAAAGTAGTCATATTAAGCTAAAACACACTAACGATTTAATGAAGGCCTATTTTTTTAATTATCTGCTGTTGTTAATCAATATGGCAGCCTGATGAAAGGAGGTTTCAGCTAGTACCTGACAGGTTGTTCAAATGCATATGAAACACATTACTTAACTATAGGAAAATTAAAGGTAAACATACCTGATATAGTCTGGTGTTTTCTTCAGCTTGATCGAAAGGTATTTCAATGCCTTTTCACTTGCAAATGTTGCATAGGAAACAGTGGTCGGGTAATCGGTTTCTTCACAAGGAACTGGGCAAGTGGAGTTATGTGTTCCAGCTGAACACAATCCCATAAGTTCCATTTTATCTAAAAGGGGAACCATTTGGTAAACAAACATCAGCACAAACAAAAAGGCCAATTTAAAGATTTCCCCCCCTTTCATTCCAAGTTTTTGGAAAAGATGTAAAGTAAAGGTTCCCCTTGACAATTTTTGTCCAGTCGTGTTCGACTCTAGGAGGCGGTGCTCATCCCCGTTTCCAAGCCATACAGACAGCGTTTTGTCCGAAGACAATCTTCCGTAGTCACATGGCCAGTGCGACTTAGACACGGAACGTTGTTACCTTCCCACCGAGGTGGTCCCTATTTATCTACTCGCATTTACATGCTTTCGAACCGCTAGGTTGGCGGGAGCTGGGACAAGTGACGGGCGCTCACTGCGTCGCGTGGATTTGATCTTACGACTGCTTGGTCTTCTGACCTTGCAGCACAGGCTTCTGCGGTTTAGCCCACAGCGCCACCACGTCCAGGTGAGGGAATATGCATCAATTACCTTCCACAGGGATAAATCACAAGATTTTACTATGGTTTCCAGTAAAGATAAGTTTGTCTTTCTTACTGAATTCTGAAACCAAGAGCAAACAATGTGATTTGAGGGAGGGGGGGAAGTATGTTTGAAGACATAGGTGGGAATAATTATTTATGGTTTGTCTAAATAGCATCTTTCAGTGAAGAACAGTATTCTGGGAAGACCAAGTCTATATGTAAACCAAAGATGAAGTCTTTGGCCTTCCAGAGAATTCTGGATAGGGCTGGTGGAAGCTGAAGTCCCAAACATCCTAAAGCAGAGTTACCTGTAAATAGTTACTTTTGGAGTGAGAAACTAATGGCCAGCATCCTGATGCAAAATGCAACCATACAATGGCAATCACATATGCGTGATCTTGCAGACTCTGTGTTACATCCCCATTCTGATTCTGAGATTGGTTGCAAAGTGGTTGTGTAATTGGCCCAGTGACAAAGGTCTTCTAAGATCAGGCCAGGGGGCCGTTCTGAAGGTGCCATCCCTGAAAGAGGTGAGGGGGAATGGCATGTCGAAATAGGGCCTTCTCGGCTGTTCCCCCCCAACTTTGGAACGCCCTCCCTATAGAGATCTGCCTGGCTCCGACACTTTTTCGGCGCCAGGCAAAGACCTTTCTCTTTAGCCAGCATTTTAATTAAATGGTATCCTTTAGCTGGCCATATGAGCAGTAGGATTTATTAATGACAAATTGACTGTTTTAATATTGGGTATTATTTTAATAGTTTTTATGTGATTTTAATATTGCTGTATGCCATTCAGAGACCATTGGTAATGAAGCGGCTAAAAAAATCTTGTAAATAAATAAATAAACCAGTAGTTTCGAAAGCTAATCTAGATGTAATGAACAGCACTAAGTAACAACTAGTGGTTTTGAAAATTTTTAGAAGCATTTTATTATGAATTTTTCAGATTATATGTCATACTCCTCTCAGACCTAAGCAACAAGGGAAGAATTTTCAGGTTTTGTCTTCTGTCTTTTTGAAAATATTTCCCAAATGCCATGTCAGAATCCCTGGCTATGCCAGCTGAAGGATTCTGGGAGTTTTAGTCCAAAACACGTTTCCATGTGGTGGCTTTGTTTCCACACAGAGGGACATGTCAGGTGCTGATTAACTTCTTTCTTAAGTTTGATTCACCCTCGTTCTATTAAGTTGTTAAACGGTGTTAACTAAAGAGGGAGGTTAGGAGATGCACCTAAGGTTGACCCCAACATGGCCTCAGATGTCAATCATACTTTCCCTTTTTTTAGTTCAAAGATCTGAAGAAATATATATAAGCATGTTGAGTTGGATGTGGTTGCACAGTATTTCCTTGAGAGGAGAACTCTTTCACAGTGCTCTGTTACAGAACTTTAAGTGCCTCTTCAACCTTTGTGGCAAATAAGCTAAGGTCTGTCTGGCTTCTGGATGGAGACATGGGAGTAGGGCTTCTGTGTACATCCCCATGAGCAGAACCCTAGACATTTTCAAGCATAACTTGTGGATAGTGCTACTAGTACAGTGTGTTACTATGGATGGTAATTTCCTGATATAGATGATGCTGGAAAGTAATTAGAAATTCTATTTTTTCAGGAAATGTTTTGGGGAAGTCTAGTGATGTGTTCTAGCTCTGCTCAGTGGCAATGGTTTAGGAACTAAACAAAAGTGTTGCCTGCTCCAGTTGGTTGCCAGTCATTGAGCTTCCAAGGATAATATGGCAACCCTGTATGGAGTAACTATGGCCATGCCTATGGATTCCTACAAATTGGTTCCCAATATTTGGATTACTTTTGTGTCATTTTACTCACACAGCATAGGTGAAACACAGTTGTAAAATTTTTCCAAGTCACATTCAGTTCCATTTCCTTTTCGACAAGTTTGTGGGAGAGGTGGGAAGGAAGAGAGAAAGAAAGATACCAATGTTAATAAAACACATTTGAACTCCTCTCCTTTGGCTTAATTGTCTAGTAAAATTGTGCTTTTTTTCTACTCATAATGTGTATTTTAAAAGCAGCAGGAACATTTCTATGGGACAACAAACAGGACTTGAGCAACAGCAGGACTTTGTCAGCCTAACGCAAAAGTTCATCAATCATCTTTGAGTTTAATAACAATAGCAACACTAGCAACAACAACCATAAAAAAAACTGAAGTAGATGCAATCCCATTGTAAGCAATATCTGTCACACTTGAACTGTGATTTCTGCGTGATGTTATTTCTTAAAGGTGGTATCCGATTAGTGCCATTCAGTTGACATAAGTCATCCATCAACAGAGGGGGCAACTTTCATCAATTCTTCTCCCACTGCACCTCCCCATACCCTTCCCCCAACTCTATTCTGATGATTGAGGCATCTTTCTGAATAGCATAGGACAGAGGTTCCCAACCCTTGGGTCCTCAGGTGTTCTTGGACAAAAACTCCCAGAAACCTTCATCACTAGCTGAGCTGGTCAGGAATTCTGGGAGTTGTAGTCCAAGAATATCTGGGGACCTCAGGTTGGGAACCTCTGGCATAGGAGATCACAAGAAGGAACCATAAATGAACATCACCCTTCCCTATTCTGCTAATTTGTGCCTACCATTATCATTTTGTTGCCACCCCTAAATTTGAATAATCTCTTGAGTAGAATCGAAGATAAATATAAAGGCTTTGTAACCAATGTGTATTATATTCATAACCTGTTGGTTGGCACTTTATATACAGCAACTGTGAGGGCTACCTTTTTAAATAATGTTTTTTCTGAAGTGGTTAGCAAGAATTTGTTTCAGTGCTAACCTGAAATCCATTTTTTAAAAAAATACCTGTTTGACGTTAACGGGCACTCAGTTAGGGAATTAGCACCCCCATGAGAGCGCCATTGTTTCAGATCAGGCATTCATGCAGGGCAGAAAGCAGAGAAAAGTGACTCTTGAGAGTCCCCTGGACTGCAAGGAGAACAAACCTATTCATCTTGAAGGAAATCAACCCTGAGTACTCACTGGAAGCTGAGGCTTCAATACTTTAGCCATCTCATGAGAAGACTACCTGGAAGAGACCTTGATGTTGGGAAAGTGTGAAGGCAAGAGAAGGGGACGACAGAGGATGAGATGGGTGGACAGTGTCATCGAAGCTACTAATATGAATTTGACCAAACTCTGGGAGGCAGTAGAAGACAGGAGGGCCTGGCATGCTCTGGTCCTTGGGGTCATGAAGAACTGGACACAACTTAATGACTAAACAACAACAGCAACATGCCAAATCCTATGCAAACTGCAAAATAAATGACCAGTGTAGAACAGATTTGTCAGATGTTTCTAAAAAGGGTGATTGAAAGGGAGAATGCTATCCCATCTCCTGTGCTGTTTCTCTTCGAGATTGACAGCTAGCTATGCATGAAGGCTTTTTGCTTGATGAGGATCCTGAAAAATCAGGGTTCCTCATAGTCTGGAAAGCCTCCACTCAGCAGAAGACACTGTGCTTGTCAGACTCCCTATTTGCACCTATGAAAGACAAAAATGAAGGGTATAGCAAGTACTGCCCTCTTCCTCATATGTCCAGAGGAAATCAGATTTCTATGTACACCAAGTTATACCTGGCAGCATAAATGGTAAGCATTGACATCGTTTTTGTATATGCCGAGCCTTGCATTCTTGCAGACATCCGTAGGTGCTGTAGATCTTGTGGTACTGAAGTTTGATGTTTGGGTTGCATTCTCCCCAAGGGTATTCTTGAATAATTGTCTTAAACAGGGAAAAATGAAATATGCATTATGTTTTTTTTAAGAATTATTGCTTCCATTTCTAATGTCATATTTTGACTGAAGACAATTTAAAATAAACCTGTAGCAATCTGTCCTGTACAAGAAACATTTTATTACAAGAAAACCTTAAGTTGTTGAGAAGTCTTTAAGTAAACCTCTCTAGCAGAACCAAGACATTTTGCTTCTTGACATCACATAGTGTAACCCATCAGTGTTTGGGTACATACATACTGTAGACACCCAAACCAATCACTTCCTCTCTTGGCTTGGTGAATTGAACTAGTAATCAGATACTAAGCCTATTTACTCAGAAGTAAGTCTTCTAATTTCAGTAGGATTCACTGCTTTAAAATTAGGCATATGATGATAAACTGAAAGTGCATTTGTGTATTCTATCTGCTATGAAATAAGCCCCATGGAACTAGCCATGTTAGGTGTAACTGGCCACACTCACTCACTCAAATCCATCAGAAAACATTTACTTCTCCTTCTTCTGGTCTTATACAAATCTTTACCTTCACTTGTTGAATTGCAGCATGGGCATGCATGCCTACCGGTGTGGATATACCTAACCCATCAAATCGAGGAGGTTGTTTTGGTGAATGGATAGCAAAGGTTATCCCAGCATCAACAAATCCAAGAGAAGGGTCATCAGTGAACTCTGCCTGGCACACACAAAAGTGTGAAAGACATAAGGAGACAGAGGTATCAGTTTCAACAAAGCAGATCTGCAAAAATTCCCAGATGAAAAATATTATTTTCAATTATAATTTATTTAAGTTCTTCATTTCTAGTCGGCTTCTTATCATCCCATTAGCCACCATCCAGATATACTACAATGCTGATGTTGCAATGCTATTCATACCTCCTTGGAAGTGAGTCCTATTATTCCTTAGCAGATTCATATACAGCTGCATTTCTAATGGTAAAATAATATTGTCTACCGATTCAGTACCTGACAGTGCAAATTAAAATCCAGAAAACAACTTAAAACTGTAAATTTTATAAATATTCAGTTCTATTCATGAAATGTGATTGTAAAAAAAAAATCTGTAAAAATCTATTAGGTACCAATTACTTTATCTTATTCAAAGAATTTGGGTATTTCTTCACAAGGTTCCATAAACTGGAATGCTGATGGATATTATAAAGAACCTTTTAAAAGCACATCCTGTTTTCTATACTAATTGCAATCTGCAATAGAGAGATATGTATTACTAGTAAGTATGCTGCAGAGCTATGTTATACCCATAATTTGAACCCTATTTCATGACATTAATTGAAAAGTATATTTTCTGAAAGGTAACAGAAAACACCTTTTATAGCTAGGATGTCTCACTACCATTTAACAGGCATGGATCACCCTTAAAAGGCCATTTAATCTCTCTTCTGCGGGTTTGGGAAATGGTTAATGAAGAAACATTGGAACAGCTGTTGGTTATATCAGTTCTGTTTTGCATAAGCCTTAGTGTCTAATAACTGTGCTGCCCATATTTGCTGCTTGTGGTTGTATTGTAGGTCACCTTCACATTAAATGGTAAGTGTTGCCTTTCGGAAAAAAAATGTACAGTTATTGTTTCTTTTAAGAATCATCAAACCTTCCACAGAATTCAAATTTTATTTGTTGAATGGTAAAATGCTCAATGACACTTTACTTGTTTGGGATCTCAGTGGAAGGGCATCTAAACTTCCACTTCAAGGAGATTTCAACAGCTTGAGCAACTGCAGGTTTACTTTTTGTTGGTTTTCTTGCTTCCCTGTGTAGCAAACAAACTGAAGATGCCAGCCACAGAGACTGGTGAAACTTCAGGAAGAACAACCTTCAGAACACAGCCAAAGAGCCCCCAAAACCCACAACAACCAAACTGAATTTGTTTTTGCAAATTGAACATTCATGCCATCTGAGAAAATGTGTGATTTCATGGTTGTACGTTCAAATGGAAGGTGAAGTGGGAGAAGGAAAACTTACCAGATGGGTTTATGCTGGAGAAGACTCTGGTCAGCTGATGTGTGAGCCTGCTCATGATGCTAACTGTTGAGCAATATGGTGGCTCACCCTTCTTTTGGGTCTTCATTGTTAAACTGGATTGGATTTGGACAGCCTTTCAAACAGAGGCTGACAAAATTCAACAGTAATTGTTTCAACTAGATTATTGACCTCCAAGAAAATGAAAAAGATTATTCTTCTCCAATAGACCTTTAAATCTAAATAGTGGGCTGCTTTATCATACATGGTCATCCTACCAACAAATGGCTGGATTATGAAGCAAAACTGCAATCCTATTCAGCCATTCAAAAAAAGGGGGGGTTAATCTCAACGCACAAGCTGGGAGAGAATTGTAGCTCCACCTCCTTCCTGTTATTACTTCCAAGAGGAGAAGGACTGTTTGGAGAAGAATGCTTTTGGTACATGTGGAGTCTGTCTATTAACAGGAGATCCTGAAGAATCAGGGTTCCTGATCATATTAAGAGGCTCCACATATGGCAGACCATTACAATCAATCATAGACTATGTTCTTTAATACAAGAGTTAACTGTCAGAAATATGTTGAGTAGTAGATGGTACAGGGCAAACTTCATGGCAATATCTGTACCTGCTTGACATCAAAAAGCAAACTCAGGCCCCTTCCAGATACGCTCACTCTTCTTTTTGCAGGAATGTTAATATGATTGAAAGTGAAGCAGTTTCCATATTCAGTGAAGGCATGCTCAAAGTCCTAGAGTAATGGAAGCAGAACAAAATGGATGACTGAATTAATTGGTTTGCTCATGCAGAACTATTAGGCAAGGAGAGTAGAAAGGAAACACAAAGGGACAGAGTGTCAGGACTTTGTTTCAGATGAGACGTTATCAGGCAGATTACCAGATCACCAATTAACTCTCCTTGCTCTGGCATGGGGAGGCAATAGCAATCATATCAGCTTTTGCTGTTGTAAAAGAAAGAAGCCAAAGAAAGAGGAAAATAAGCACGAGAGTGCAACTCTTGCCTTCTTAGATTTGTATTGGTGTTTTGCTGCTCTTGCATTTTTTCAGTTGCAGTTTTATGAAGGTGTTGTTAAATGTGAATAAATAGTTAAAAAAAAAAAAAGACTATTCATCTTTCAGAGTGACTATCACATAACCTGGGCTGCCATATTGTCTGTTTAGCTGGGTTTTTCCTATATTCTAACCATGCCACCTGAGGCCCACTTGCATCATTAGCCGGCCAAGGTACCTAGATTTCCTCTCTAGCTCTTGCTGAAGTTGAACTCTGAGGCAAAACAGGAAGTCAATATTGTACCCAACTATTTCACAAGAATAATAAATCATAATAATAAATCATTTAATTAATTAATTGTTATAAATTTTTCTTGAACTTGTTATCCTTTATGTTGTAAGCCGCCTAGAGTTGTTGAAATGACTAGATAGGCAGGGTATAAATACAATAAATAAATAAATAAAAATAAAAAATGAGCCTGCTTCTGCTTTGTGGTGTGTTTAGCCAATGGGTAAAACCACAGCAATGACTGACATTCTCAAAGCCTTATGTATTTAAAAGTACTGATCTGCATACTGCACGTGCAAACTGCATGAAGACACATTAAGCAGCTGTTACAATTCAAGGGTTCTGGGTAACAGTTCTTGGTAGCCTGATCATGTTAAGGGTGTCTGGTAAAGCCTGCTTCCTGTCATATTTTCCTTAGATAGGGAACAGCACTCTGTGTTTTGTAACTGCATTTTGCCTGCACTGGCTGCAGAGATGAGTTGTTAAACTAAGAATTTTTTTAAAAAAAGAGTCCTTGGGAGAGATGAGAAATAAACTTCCTCTTTAAGAAACATTTTTGCAGTCTTTCCTATATCTATTTACTAAGGAGTAGGCCCTTTCAACATCAAAAAAAAAAAAAACTAAGACCATGGCCACTGGTCCCATCACCTCCTGGCA